CCTCTTGCCCACTGCTGGAGATGTGATGTGTTCTCACAGGGAGGACTTCCTGCCAGGGAATCTAGGCCTGAAGGAGCTGCTTCTTGGTGGTGGGAAGGAGGAATCAAAGCCCCTGGGGTGTGGGCCACACTGTATGAGCTTGGACGGGCTGGTCGAATACTGTGAAGCTTTATTGTTTCTGAGACTCTCCCTGGGCTCAGGGTTCAAAATCAAAAGCTTCTCGCAGGTAAGATTAGCTTAGTGAAAACCAACTGCACTTTCTCTAAAGTAGAATGGTTTAAAAATCAAAGCAGAGGGTGCTGTGGCTCATGGCTGTAATCCCAGCACTTTGGGAGGACAAGGTGAGTGGATCACCTGAGGTCAGGAGTTCGAGACCAGCCTGTACAAAATGGTGAAACCCCGTCTTTACTAAAAATACAAAATTACCCAGTCGTGATGGTGGGCACCTGTAATCCCAGCTACTTTAGAGGCTGAGGCAGGATAACTGCTTGAACCTGGGAGGCAGAGGTTGTAATGAGCCGAGATCACACCAGTGCACTCCAGCCTGTGTGACAGAGCGAAACTCCATCTCAAACACAAACAAACAAACAAAACAAAGATATCAAAGCAGAGAAAATATTACAGTAAGCACAGTTGGCAAGACAGTCCATTTAAATAGCACAAATTGGTTTTAATTTTATGTCAATAAAATTAAACATTTAATTCAACATTTAAATAAAAATTTTTTTTTGTATAAGACGCAATTATCTGTGCAAGACAGAAACGCTGGAGTACCCTTGTGTCTTTCTCTTCTTTGCCTCCTATTTTGAATCCAGCTTTGAGTTGTGCTGTGCTTCTAAATAGCTCTCGAATCTCTCTACTTCTCTTCCCATCACTTCCACCGCCTCCATCATTGCTCCACTGGATGTTGCAGCAGCCTCCTCCATGTCTTCTCTGGGCCCCTCGGTATCAATCCAGTATGTACTGCAGTAACTCCAAGAATTTGCACACAATACGATCCATTGGCATGTAGGCAGAAGCCAGTAGAATTTTAATTTTTGTTTATGTTAAGTAAAATTAAGAAAGCAAGTGAGCTTTCATGACATTCAATGACTGGCTTGACTGTGGCTCCTTGCCCAATTCTTCTGTCAGCCAATCTAATGCCACGTTTGATTCAAGAGGTATCTGGGTATCCAGGAACTCCAGAACACGACCATGCTCTGAGGGAGCCTGCGTGGTTTTGTTCGCTCTCTGTGTGTTGCAATGAAGTGCAGCTTTTATCTTCTCCAGGAGAATGCTGTTCATGGATTACATTAAGTAGTACCAATTAAACAAACTTCCAAAAAATAGATAAGCAACCTAAAAGGATTCCTGCATCTTTTTTGAAGATGAAAGATACAATCATGCTATGCATAATAATGCTTTAGTCAATGATGGATGGTATATATGATTGTGACAGTGACAGTGTCCCATAAAACTATAATGGACCAGGCATTGTGGCTCATGCCTGTAATCTCAGCACTTTGGGAGGCCGAGGTGAGCAGATCACCTGAGGCAGGAGTTCAAGACTAGCCTGGCCAACATGGCAAAACCCGTTTCTACTAAAAATGCAAACGTGAGCAGGGTGTGGTGGCGTGCACCTGTAGTCCCAGCTACTCAGGAGGCTGAGGTGTGAAAATCGCTTGAACCCGGGAGGCAGGGGTCGCATTGAGCTGAGATGGTGCCACTGTGCTCCAGCCTGGGCAACAGAGTGAGGCTCTGTCTCAGAAAAACAAAAACAAAAACAAACCAAAAAAACCCCCCAAAACCAAAAACCATAATGGAGCTCAAAAATTCCTACCACCTAGTGAAGTCCTAGCCGTTGTAACGTGGTAGTGTAATGCATTACCTATTCTGTGTTTAGATACACAAATGTCATCGTGTTGCAATTGCTCACAGTGTTCACTGCAGTAGCCTGCTATACAGGTTTGTACCTAGGAGTAATAGGCTATACCTCATAGCCTAGGTGTGCAGTAGGCTGGGACATTCAGGTGTATGTGAGTATACTCTTTGACGTTCAACCACAAAATGGCCAAACGACACAGTCCTCAGAACATTAAGCATGATGAATACTAAAGGTAAACAAAGGGGAACAACAAGCTAATCAAAAATATGGGATGAAATATGGACAAATATGTACTATTGTTTATTAGTAACAACTCTTACTCTAAGTGTATAATGTCCTTAGTGATATATAACTAATGATAACTTGCAGTCAAAATTTTTCAAGACTTAAAATCATTTCACTGGGGACATGTTCAAACACACATAAAATAGAAAATATAATCATGAGGCTGGGGGTGGCTCAGCCTGTAATCCTAACACTTTAAGAGGCTGAGGTGGGAGGATTGCTTGGGGACAAGTGTATGAGACCAGCTTAGGAAACATAGCAAGACCCTTTCTCAACAACAAAAAAATTAAAATAAAAAAATTTAGCTGTGCATGATGGTAGATGCCTGTAGTCCCAGCTGCTCAGGAGACTGAGGTGGGAGGATCACTTGAGCCCAGGAGATCAATGCAGTGAGTTATACAGTCCAGCCCAGGTGAAACCACTGCATCCAGCTGGGGTGAAACCACTGCACTGCAGCCCGGGTGAAAGAGCAAGATTCTGTCTCAAAAAAATTAATTAATTAAAATTATGACCCCTCACGTGCCTATTGCTTAACTTCGACAGTTATCAACACTTTGTTAAGACTTCAAAAAATATTTTTTGTTAGCTCCCTTTAAAACAATTTCTATATTTGTATGTTTTATAATGTACATAAACTATACAGTGTACACACACACATGCTTATAAAAACACATACATTTACATAAACCAGACGTGTGTACTCAAAACCTTACCACTTGTAAGGGTGTGTAGTCAAAGGCTTAGAGGAGTCTGCTCCATGCTGCTGTCAAGAGACCTTTCCAATATGCAAATTTGATCATGTTGCTCTGTGTTGCATAGCCCTCAGTGGCTTCCCATTGCTTCTAAGAGAGTTCTGCAAGAACTCGCCTAAGTCTCTTGCCTGACTCCCCACCTTGCTTTCTTTGCTCTGGCCCTGATGCCAGTTTGCAGTGCAGATTTGCGCACAGTGCACATATGGGCCCACGTTTCCTCCTGCCCAGGGTCTTTGGGTATTACTCTTCCTCTGCTTTCCATCTCAGTGACATTGTCACTTCCTTAGGAAATCCTTTGATTCCCTCTAGTCCAGACGTGGTTTCCCAAATGTGAGCCATTCTTATGGAACTGAGTTCTTTTCCTTCATTGCATTTTTTTCAGTCTGTCACATTAGTTTCATTTTAGTGATGGCTAATGTCTCTTCCTTCCTCTAGACTGTAATGTCCAAGAAGATGTGACACATGACCTTTTCTACCTGTCCCCAGTGTCTAATGATGTGACCAGCACATAGTAGGTGTTCAACAAATTGTGGATTAAGTGAAGGTTTGTCCTAGTTCAAGGTTAAAAAAGTGTGAGGGTCAGCTGTGATCCCTGTGAACCAGTTGGAGGATGAATCATCATTGCATAAGTTCAACACTGGAAGAGATAAAGAACAATACAAGACAACAAGTTCACGGGTGGTGTGTGGCTAATTGCCCAGAAAGCACAGTGGATGTCAGATGCGTTAGGTTCAAAGAAAGAACACTGTGAGGTGAGCTGGGCTGATTTCAGATGGTATTACCCTTTGAAATATAAAAGCCACATGTGAACAAACACATATGGATATCCTGGAATCTGAACTTCTTGCTTGCAATACTGAAAGCATAATTTAATTTTGATTTACAAGAGGCTCCAATTTGACCCTGAAGTCATAGTGATAATGTCATCTTCCCAGCTCATTCCAACGTGAATGAAATCTGCTCTTTTATCAGGCTCTGCATCCATCAAGCCTTGAAGATGGGGCTGTGGTTTATTAGTTATACATCTTTCTTTAGGTCTTTCAAAAGTCCTTCCAAGTCTGACCCTTGACTGAGCTTTCCTATGGTTTTTTTTTTTTTTTTTTTTTTTTTTTGCGGTTTTGTAATAAAAGGATTTGTTTTTATATGAGCTGGTAGAGAACCAATGCTTGGTATTAATTTAGAAGGTTGTAGGTTGATTTGGGAAGCTCAGCCTGACATTCATATGATCTGAACTTCTTTTTTCCCAAGAGAAGCTACGTTTGCATCGGTTTTAGCTTCAACATACACTTGTTTATTTTATTGGTTTCTAGCTTGTCTTCCTTCTCTAGAATGTAAGCCTCTTGAAAACAAGGAACTTAACTGCCCTGTCTCCAGTGTAACCTCAGCACCTAGGACAGGGCCTGACACAGAGCAGGTACTCAACACACATTTGTTGAATGACTGACTGTAGGGTGACGGTCTGAAGGAGAGTGGAGTTTATAGTTGCTTATGAAAGCACATAGGTCAGAAGCCTCTGCCCTGCTATTTCAAAATCTCTCATGTTTGTAATTTGAGGGTAGGGGACATTTTTCTCCCCATCTTTTTATTTTCTGACATTGGTACCAGATGCTTGTTCATAGTAGATGCTGTGAGCACATCAACTAAATAAATCAAAGAGAGTTCTTGATCATCATTTGACCATGACAATGGAGAAGGAAGAGCAGGTGGTAGAGGACTGGTTTTAGAATAGGCAGTCCTAGAGTGAATTCCCAGTTCTCACTCACAGAGCCATGTTAGGCAAATCTCTGGACTTCTCAACCTCAGTGTATTCATCTGTATAATTGGCACATCAATAGTGGAGACTGTCCCAGGGCCACTGCAAGGCACTCTTTCTGGGAAGCATTCTGTAAGCAGTGAAATGCCTAGAAACAAGAGTCATAGTGGGCACTGGCCAAGGCAATCAGGAAAGGCTGGAAATTCCCATAGGGTTATTGGCGATGTTCTTGGCCTTTAGATGGATATTGGACTCAGAAGCTGAACTGCTGGGTCCAGATTTGCAGGTCTTTGTCTCCAAAAGCTCCTCTTGTCACCACCTTCCTTTGTCCCCTCCCTCCCTCCCCGACTCCAGTCTTCCTTTATGCTGGTTCATGCAGCCTGTATGAACTGCCAGATGAAAGCAACTCAATAGCCTGAGTTATCTAGAATTACATTTCAAAAACATCTCTATGTTTCCTCAGGGGAGGAAGGGAAACAGGGACCAGGGCACAAGAGGGCATAGAGTACCCTCTAACTACATTCTACCTTTTCCTTTGTATAATTTGGCCTATGGTTTCCTAAAGGATTTTCCCCAACCATGGTCAGCCCTGTAGATGGAATCATCTGAGGGGAGTTGGATGACCCTGCCCCAATCTCTCCAATTGGCCTGAAATTCTCACTACTTGAACTTTTGGTTTTGAAGCCAATATGTTTCCATTGAAGGTCATAATTAGCCATTATCACCTGAGCTTCCATTTGGGTTATCTCGAACTCCCTGGGGCCTGAAAAACAAAAGTGACAACTTTTGATAGAAAAGATAGTATCTGGCCAGGCTTGGTGGCTCACACCTGAAATCCCAGCACTTTGGGAGGCTGAGGAGGGCAGATTACTTGAGACTAGGAGTTCAAGACCAGCCTGGCCAACATGGCAAAACCCTGTCTCTACTAAAATTACAAAAAATTAGCCAGGTATGATGGCATGCACCTGTAATCCCAGCATCCCAGCTACTCAGGAGGCTGAGGCATGAGAATTGTGTGAACCTCAGAGGCAGGGGTTGCACTGAGCCAAGATCATGTTACTGCATTCCAGCCCAGGGGGACAAAGTGAGAGTCTATCTCAAACCAAACCAAACCAAAAAACAGGATTAAGAAACTACTGCCTTGAAAGGACATCATGAAGACTGTACTTTCAGGGATCATTTCTATAGTTTTGATACTAGAAAAGTTTCTCTGAATGTGTAGAGCACCAACAGAAACTGGACCCCTTCCTTACACCTTATATAAAAATTAACTCAAGATGGATTAAAGACTTAAATGTAAAACCCAAAACCATAAAAATCCTAGAAGAGAGACTGTGCCCACCCCATGATCACAGAGCCCCACCCTCACCGCTCTACCCCGCCAGTCCACATCCACTGCCAGCTCACCATGGATGATGATATCGCTGCACTTGTAATCGACAACGGTTCCCACATGTGCAAGGCTGGCTTTGTGGGCGACAATGCTCGCTGGGTTGTCTTCCCCTCCATCGTGGGGTGCCCCAGGCACCAGGACATGATGGTGGGGATGGGTCAGAAGGACTCCTATGTGGGTGATGAGGCCCAGAGCAAGAGAGGCATCCTGACCCTGAAGTACCCCATCGAGCACGGCATTGGGATGACATCGAGCATACCAACTGGGATGACATGGAGAAGATCTGGCACCACACTTTCTACAATGAGCTGCATGTGGCTCCTAAGGAGCACCCTGTGCTGCTGATGGAGGCCCCCTGAACTGCAAGACCCACTGCGAGAAGATGACCCAGATCATGTTTGAGACCTTCAACACCCCAGCCATGTATGTGGTCATCCAGGCTGTGCTGTCCTTGTACGCCTCTGTCTGTACCACTGGCATTGTGCTGGACTCCGGTGACGGGTTCACCCACACTATGCCCATCCATGAGGGTTACGCCCTCCCCCATGCCTCTTTCTGGACCTGGCTGGCTGGGACCTGACTGACTACCTCGTGAAGATCCTCACCGAGAGCGGCTACAGCTTCACCACCACAGCAGAGTGAGAAATCCTGCATGACATCAAACAGAAGCTGTGCTATGTCACCCTGGACTTCAAACAGGAGTTGGCCACAGTGGCCTCCAGCTCCTCCCTGGAGAACGGCTATGAAATGCCTGACAGCCAGGTCATCACCATCAGCAACGAGCGATTCCGCTGCCCTGAGGCACTCTTCCAGCTTTCCTTCCTGGGCATGGCATCTTGTGGCATCCATGAAACTACTTTCAACTCCATTATGAAATGTGATGTGGACATCTGCAAAGACCTGTATGCCAACACATTGCTGTCTGGCGTTACCACCATGTACCCTGGCATTGCCGACAGGATGCAGAAGGAGATCACTGCCCTGGCATCCAGCACGATGAAGATCAAGATCATTGCTCCTCCTGAGTGCAAGTACTCTGTGTGGATTGGCGGCTCCATCCTGGCCTCGCTGTCCACCTTCCAGCAGATGTGGATCAGCAAGCAGGAGTACGCCGAGTCCAGCCCCTCCATCATCCACTGCAAATGCCTCTAGGAAGACTGTGACTTAATTGTGTTACACCCTTCCTTGACAAAACCTAACTTGCACAGAAAACAAGATGAGATTGGCATGGCTTTATTTGTTTTTGTTTTATTTTGTTTTGTTTTTTGGCTTGACTCAGGATTTAAACACTGGAACAGTGAAGGTGACAGCAGTTGGTTGGAGTGAGCATCCCCCAAAGTTCTACAATGTGGCCAAGGACTTGATTGTACATGGTTCTTTTTTTCAAAGTCATTCCAAATATCGTGAGATGCATTGTTATATGAAGTCCCTTGCCCTCCCAAAAGCCACTCCACTTCTCTCTGAGGAGAATGGCCCGGTCCTCTCCTGAGTCCACACAGGGGAGGTAATAGCATTCCTTTTGTGTAAATTATGTAATGAAAAAAAATTTTTAATTTCACCTTAATACTTTTCTATTTTGTTTTATTTTGAAAGATTTTAGCCTCTGTGGCTATCCCCATTTTGTCCCTCAACTTGAGATGTATGAAGGCTTTTGGTCTCTCTGGAAGTGGGTGGAGGCAGCCAGGGCTTACCTGTACACTGATCTGAGACCAGTTGAATAAAGCGTGTGCGCGCACGCGTGCACACACACACACACACACACACACACTCCCTAGAAGAAAACCTAGGCAATAGGAAATGCCATTCAGGACATATGCATAGGCAAAGATTTCATGACTAAAACCAAAAACAATTGCAGCAAAAGCCAAAACTGGCAAATGGGATGTAGTGACACTAAAGAGCTCTCTGTACAGCAAAAGAAGTTCTCATCAGAGTGAACAGGGAACCTACAGAATGGGGTGAAATTTTTGCAGTCTCCTCATCTGACAAAGGTCTATCCAGAATCTACAAAGAACTTAGATGTACAAGAAAAAATCAAACCACCCCATCAAAAAGTGGGCAAAGGATGTGAACACACTTCTCAAAAGAGGACATTTATGTAGTCAACAAACATATAAAGAAAAGCTCGTCATCACTGGTCATTAGAGAAATGCAAATCAAAACCACAATGACATACCATCTCAACACCAGTTAGAAAGGTGATTATTAAAAAGTCAGGAAACAACAGATGCTGGCAAGGCTGTGGAGAAATAGGAATGCTTTTATACTGTTGGTGGGAATGTAATTTAGTTCAATCATTGTGGAAGACAGTGTGGCAATTCCTCAAGGATCTAGAACCAGAAATACCATTTGACCCAGCAATCCAATTAGTGTTTATATACCTAAGGAATTATAAATCATTGTACTATAAAGACACACACACGCGTATGTTTACTGCAGCACTATTTACAATAGCAAAGACTTGGAACCAACCCAAATGCCCATCAAAGATAGGCTGGATAAAGAAAATGTGGCACGTATACACCATGGAATGCTATGCAGCAGTAAAAAAGAATGAGTTCATGTCCTTTGCAGGGACATGGATGAAGCTGGAAGCCATCATTCTTAGCAAACTAACACAGGAACAGAAAACCAAATACTGCACGTTTTCACTCATAAAAGGGAGTTGAACAATGTGAACACATGAACACAGGGAGGGGAACATCATACTCCAGGGCCTGTAGAGGGGTGGGGGTCAAGGGGAAGGAAAGCATTAGGACAAATACCTAATGTATTTGGGGCTTAAAACCTAGATGATGGGTTAATAGGTGCAGCAAACCACCATGGCACATGTATACCTATGTAACAAACCTGCATGTTCTGCACATGTATCTAGAACTTAAAGTAAAATTAAAAAGAAAAAGAAAAAGGACATCATGAAAGGAGATCCATGGTAGCTGAGTGTATAAGGAATCTTAAGAACTGAGCCAAGGGGGAGGATGGAAACATTAAGCTAGGGGAGTGGGAGAGAGGAGAGGAGGTACTTACAAACTGTCTGCATCCCAGATCTGTCCAGGGGATCTGGGACAGATGTGACTATTTCAAAATAAAATAGTCTTGTTGATTTGACAGGTTCTCACAATGTCATTATAATTTTATCTACTTTCATTGTTATTAGACAATCCAGAGGAGACTGTGAGCTCCCAGATAAATAGCCTGTGGCCTCTGCCTCATGCTTCCTCCCCATGTCTGCAGTTCTTCCCCCTGCCCTGTTCTTTGCTTGGGCTTTTCCTCTCCTTGGACTGCTTTCACTCTCTAGCTGTACCTGTTGAAATCCTTCAGAGTTAAGCCCACACTTTATCAGCCTGGGAAAATTCTCATGATTTCTGTGCCATGTCCTGAGGTCCTGAGCAGCACTTACTCATTAGCTTTCTCATGCACCCTCATGTCTGTCCCCTGGCACAGAGTTAATGGTGGACTTGCTTTTTTGTTTGTTTTTCTTTTTGAGATGGAGTCTCTCTTTGTTGCCCAGGCTGGAGTGCAGTGGCACGATCCCTCACTGCAACCTCCACCTCCCAGGTTTAAGTGATTCTCCTGCCTCAGTCTTCCTAGTATCTGGGATTCCAGGCATGCACCACCATGCCCTGCTAGTTTTTGTATTTTGAGTAGAGATGGAGTTTCATCATGTTGGCCAGGCTGGTCTTGAACTCCTGACCTCAGGTGATCTGCCTGCCTTCACTTCCCAAAGTTCTGGGATTTCAGGTATGAGCCACCATGCCCAGCCTGGACTTGCCTTTTAACTCCACTCCCCACCATCTCCTACCTGATGGGTGAGATGCAAGAAAAACTCTCTTCCTTATCATTGTATACCCCAATTGGTGCTTAATAATATCTGTTTAATTAAGTTGCATGCAGTAGTTGCAATATGGATTTCTGTAGTCACTTCAGATGCCTCAGAAAGAAAATACCCACCTCCCTGACTGATGCCTGAAACCCCCCCTTATAGTCTGTCTAAGGTTTTCATTCATTTCAAAGGCAATGCTTGTCAGAAGTGCTATAAGGTTCCAGTCTCCTGGGAAGGTCTGAATTCTAGGTGAAACATCGGAACCATAAAAATCCAAAGTGTTCTACATTGAAATAGAAGCTATTTACCTAAAAATACACATTGTGTTCCATATTCCATATACTACACAAAGAGGTCATATGATGTGGTAACCAATCAAGCTTGGGCTCTTGGACCAGTTTGTCTGGGTTCTGATTTGAACTGATTTGTTGCCTGATTAAATGGATTAATATTCATGAAATGTGTGCTGCTGTGCTGGGCATGTGGTTAGTGCTCAGCAAGGATGGTTGTTATTGTCAGGTTGTTATTATTGCTCTTATCCATCTAATCTGAATATGACTCTACCCCTTTGGGCAGCCTCTTCTCGTGCTGTGTACCTACCATGGGACCAAATTCAACACTTTACTGTATTCCTCTTTAAATCAAATTGAATGCCAAAAGTTTTCCTGAGAAATACAACTTTACTGAAGATTTCTTAAGGAAATCTGGAGAATAACACTGTGTACCACACAGCAAAACTTGCCCCAGAAATCCCTTTTAAGGCATCTCTGTTCTTTCCCCAAAGTTCCTCTCTCAACATTAGCAACCTCATCACTCCTCCCTTCCCAAATATTCTCCCATACCTTTTGATAGCTTTTCCAGAAATCCAGGCATATCTTTGGGATTCAGCTTCCTTGGAAGGTAGGGAGATTATAGTAAAAATAATCCTTTTTCCTTTCACATTTAGGATGTTAATTAACATGATGCTATTTATTATATATGTCAAAGATTAAATGTGAATGCCAGATACTCAGAATTTCTGGATGACCCCAGCCTGCAAAACTCATTCAGGTTACCTGCTGGGTCCAGTGGTGTTCTGGAGATGATTCACGTGAGCTCACGAGAGCCCATCATGTGCATCTCTTTGCAGCTCTGCTTTCACTGATGCCATGTTAGTAACTTGAAATCTGCCATGATGGGAATATTTACACCCCTGTAATTGGCAAAAGCTACAGACCAGAGATTTCCCCTTCCTAGAGAGTAGATTGTTAGACATTTATCAGTGTACTGTTGCTGTGGCCATTAACACTATATCTTTCACTGTCCTGCAAGACCCCAAAAGTACAATTTCATGGCTTTCTGTCCCTTGAATTCTTGGCATTTTGAGGCAAACCTTGAGAGTAGGTGACTAGGAGAATTGTCAGTTATTTAAGCTCTATGCCAGCCTAGCAGTCTTTCTCTTTCTCTTCCTTGGCCTTAACACTGTTTGTTTTCCCTGGAATCTGAGCTCTTTCCTAGTTGATGAGCCTAGATCATGCCTCAGCCTGTTTCAGGGTCACTTTCTCTCTTTTCGCTTAAGGTCCCAGAATGCTATGTGGCAGGTGCCTCATCAGTTTTGATACAGACTGTGTAAAATTCAGTCACAGGAATTTGTCATTCAATGATGCTGGGGAAGGATCAGTATTGCTATAAAGTCAGGGTTTCTGCCACCAGCTAGGCTCTCATTGCAGTTCAGTAGTCAGTGATTCTCCACTATGGCTGCATAGTCAAGTCACCTGAGGAGTTCAAAAACTCCCAGTGCTCAAGCTACATCCCAACCAATTAAATCAGATGAGATCCAGGTATCACCTTGCCGCTTAAGGTCTAGATAAGATTGACTTGGATTCCCATTCCTCAGTTTGTGGAAGGCCCAGTATTCTCCCAGTGGACAACTCATTTTGCATTTTGTGGTCACCTCTGCTCCCGAAATCCTTCCTCTACTGTACTGGTTTGGTTTAGGAATCATCTTATCATCCCATGGATGCTTCTCTGTTTCATAAATCCATCCAGATGTAATTCCCTCAGGAATGCCTTCCTTAATTCTCCAGTCTAGATCAAGTCTTCCTGTTAGGTATATTTTTAAGTCACCTTATACTTTTTTTTTTTCTTTTTTTAATTGCATTTTAGGTTTGGGGGTACATGTGAAGAACATGCAAGATTGTTGCATAGGTACACACATGGCAGTGTGATTTGCTGCCTTCCTCCCCTTCACCTATATCTGGCATTTCTCTCCATGCTATCTCTCCCCAACTCCCCACCCCCTACTGTCCCTTCCCTATTTCCCCCCAACAGACCCAGTGTGTGATGCTCCCCTCCCTGTGTCCATGTGTTTTCATTGTTCAACACCTGCCTATGAGTGAGAACATGCAGCGTTTGATTTTCTGTTCTTGTGTCAGTTTGCTGAGAATGATGTTCTCCAGGTTCATTCATGTCCCTGCAAAGGACACGAACTCATCTTTTTTGATGGCTGTGTAACATTCCGTGGTGTATATATGCCACATTTTCCCTGTCCAGTCTATCATCGATGGGCATTTGGGTTGGTTCCAGATCTTTGCTATTGTAAACTGTGCTGCAATGAACATTCATGTGCATGTGTCCTTATAGTAGTTTTCTTTCATAGCAGTTAAACTAATTGGTAATTATGTATTTAGTTTTGTATTTGGTTAACTAGATTGTATACTCCATGCAGATGTGGATTGTGTCTATTTTTTCCCACCACTTAGACCTAGTGCTTAAAAAACTCATGCTTGGCACACATTCGGTGTTTGGTGAATAATTGTTGAACACTGAGGAGGTACCTGTAGGAAGGAATGAGGCTGGGCCTTAAAAAGAAGCTGCAACCAGGAGTGAAACAACTGACCCTGACATCTTATACACGTTTCTCGTTCTTCCTTTCTCTTTCTGCAGACCAGCCTTCTATGCCTCCCAGTCTACTTGGTAGGTAATAGAAGCTACCACACAGCTCCTTAGTTTACATCACTTCCATTTAAGAGACCAGTTCAGGCCAAACCAGACACTTGTAGCACCAGTTCCTAGACAGCAGAATATGATGGGCTCAGATTGGTTCAGGTATCCAACTTTGGTCCGGTCAATACTGTGGTGAGCACAGGATATAAGGCAAACATATAGATGCCAAAAGCCCTTGTGAGTAAAGGGTACAACTAAGGAGTCATAGTAAATGGGCAAATTCCCTAAAAGATTTTCACTGTAGCCTATACAGAACCACTGTCACAAGTAGAAATTGCCCTATGAGTGGTGATAAAGAACTGAGAAAATAAGAGAGAAGAGACAGGTGGGCCCAGGGGGCTGAGTGACAGCAAGGAGCCCCCACCAGTCAACAGGGGGATAGGTTGGTAGCTTGGCTCCCCAGATCCAATTTTTAGGCTCTAATCCCAAGGGCCTGGAAAGGCCAAATATTCCCAAGACTGATTTCCTGGCTGCCTCTAAGCTTCTCATGCCAGCAGAGGGGAGAAAATCAAATGGACTGGTGCCATTCTGCAGAGAGGAACTGGCTGGCTTTGCATTGGGCTGGTGTTATCCAGACCTCACCCGACTAACATGAAGCTGTCCACAGTGGGGGAGTGCAAGAGAGGGTAGAAATGAGAAAGAGAGAGAGAGAGAGAAAAGAAAAGAGAAGAGGAAGAGAAGAGGAAGAGAAGAGGAAGAGAAGAGAAGAGAAGAGAAGAGAAGAGAAGAGAAGAGAAGAGAAGAGAAGAGAAGAGAAGAGAAGAGAAGAGAAGAGAAGAGAAGAGAAGAGAAGAGTGTCATAAGAAG